TCAACTATCGAAATCATTTATTATTGTAAATTGTTAATAAAAATGGTGTAAAATGTGAGTGATCTAATGATGTATATGTTATTAAGATTTGATCGTTATAATATTAGATATGATCATTATAATATTCATTATTTGTTTGAATATTCATACTTTATTTATTCATATCTTCATGAATATTTAATTTTTGTGAATAGCCATATTGAATGTAATTGTATCAATTATTATTTCCGCAATATTCTAACTAATTATCAATATTACATCATCGATACTAGTATTATATTTTAAGTATATAATTACTAGTATTATATTCTAATGATAGTCTATTCATATTCTATTCGTGATATTTCTTATTGATATATATTATTGATAGATTATTAACAGTGTTCAAAAACGCGATGTATACATAAGGTTAGCCTAAATTAACAAATAAAATATAGAAAATGTTATTATAATGAATACTCGTGATCGTAAAAAATTCTACGTAATACAACTAATCACTCTTATTGATTTGAACCTTTCATCTTACGATATGATTAAGTGACCAGAGGAAATAAAATGCATACGACTCACATTAGATGTGAAGAACGTGGTCAACAATACTGCAGTAAACTAAAATTTATCAGGCCGCCGCAGAAGAAAGTTGTACAAAATCTGCAATAAAACATGGAAGATTATATTTTATTCTAAATTAAGATTCTAAATTATACGATTCTACTTTATTCTAGAATAAGATTATATTTTATTCTTAAAAACAGAATTGCTTATAGAGTATCAAATAATAAAAAATTAAATTCTATTAAATATAAAATTTTAATAACCACAAGAGATTAAAATTTTAATAATAATAAGAACTTTATAACTTTATAACAATATATTAAAAATTTTAATTTTCAATTAATTCTAAATTTTATTTTAATAAAGGAATAAATATTAAGTTTCCGAATTCTCAATCAGACTTAATTAGGTAACAATTATTAAAATAAAATATGAAAAATAAAACTGAGATACAAAACGCGAAAATACTTACATTTTTAATTTTTGGAACACTACAAAACACTTTTCAGAGAATAAAACATGGAGATTGTAAGCAATCTGCAACAGAATGTAGAATATTATAATAATTTGTTTTTAAATGATGATTAAAGTTCGATTTAATGAAATGAAGCTACACAACATTCAATAGATTATTATATAAATGCATATTGATTAGACAAAGATAATATTAGAGCATAAATGGTGAAAGAATAGTAATACAGATACTACGCAATAAATATGTAACGCACCTCGCACGTGATTCAATATATATAATATATATAGTAATATATAGTATATTATATTAATTTAATATATAATTTATCATATTAATTGAAATATCTTTTCTGTGAAAAAATTGTAATTAACCTTACTCTGTGTTAAAAAAGAATATAATAGCAAATATAAATCTCACCACATGTAAAGTGCTTCACTATTATCAATAGATTATCAAACACATAACATAATCAAATATATATATATATATGCACATGCGCAAACTTTCTAATAATGTAACAAAAGAAAAACTTTTAAAATGCTATTTAACGAAACTTGGTATTCTTGAATTAACTCTTTAAACTAAACGTTGTAAATTATAGACGTATCGATATTTCAAATTTCTTATACACTCGAATACCTTCAGAACACGCCGAGTCCCATAAGGTGGTCCAGTAATATGCGAGCATTCGAGATATTGCATGCATAACACGATCGAGACAGCACAATCGATTTAACAATTTTGTCGACTTGAAGTTTTCCTAACCTTGAAATAACGCATGAGCTGTGCGCGTACGAGAAAAATTAAAGTATTAAATTCGAATACGGGAGAAAGGAAATGAGTGATGCAGAACTTCAGGAAGAAGAAAGAGAAGTACTTCTTTCGATATATGATGGAGATTCAGCTTTTAAACAGTTGACACCCACAACGTTTCAGTATAAGGTTTGCTCTCTATAAAAATCAAAAAATATAATTTTAAAATTTTAAAAAAGATCGTCATCAATGGCGAATGAATCATAATCATGTTTATTCAAGTTGTATGACTTTCGAGTGAATATATATTTAACATTAATTTTTATATATTTAACATTAATTTTATATACAGTATGGAGAGGATAACGACATGAAATCATTTCTATTGGAGATTTCATGGGGAACAACTTATCCATCAGAGAGGCCTATCGTTAATATGAACACTTTTTACAATAAGCACATGTAAGTCCAATCATCTTGTCCACTGAATATTCTTGCATTCTGTTGCTTTTATTAAAGGTGAATGATTGGAATACAGTGTACAAGAAGTAAAAGACAAAGTGGTGCAACATGTGGAGGCAGAGATTGATCAATGGCTAGGAAGTGCTATGACTTATACATTATTTCAATCTATACAAGAACATTATACTGAGTTGGTCTTGGCGCAACCAGATTCTGTAGTTGATTTAAACTCACAAACCAATCAGCTAAAGATAACAGATGAACATCAACAGGTAAAAATTGATTATATTAAAATATAATATAAATTTATTTGACATATCAATTTGTTATGAAAAGTTGGAAGAAACAACAAAAAAGCCAAAAAAGGAACATCTAACTAAAGCTCAAAAACGTAGACAATGGAATAAAGCAGATGGAAAGGGAGAGAAACCACGAGGATGGGACTGGGTGGACATAGTAAAACATTTATCACAGACTGGCCCTAAACAAGAACAAGAATCTTAGTTCAACTTCATTGAAATATTTGTACAGATTAAAGGCGTATTATATTTTTATAAATTATTCAAAATAAACTGGTTTCCATATCGGTTTTACTAATATATTATAAATTATAATCACCTGTGATAAAAATTTGTAAGAAAATATTTATAAATAATTTTATCTCATTGCCAACAAATAGTTACAAAATATGCAAATAAAATTACTTAAATAATTAACAATTATAAAATTTTATCGAGATAAATAATGTGGAAGGAACAATGATATTTTCCAATGTTCATGCCTTTTCTTTTACCATTAATTTTTTTATAAAAATCTCCAGCCTGCTACTGGTAATAGATTTGTTTCTGTTATCCACCCTAAAATGCAACATTTATATGAATAAAAAGAGTATTAAACTTTTATCACATAGAAATAAAATTACCTTTGCTTTCAAGATCACTAATAAAGGCTTTATATTCGCTAGAGATCAATAAATTCGTGGCGTAAATACTCTCTATGGCTTTTGACGATTGTATGCCATTATTTCTATTAGAGTACCTTTTATTAAGTACATAAAGTCGCATTAAAGGATACGACAGATCACTTACTTCGGGTTTTACATAAACATCCTTAAAAAAACGTAACATCTCAATATATAAGTATTACAATTTTTTCATATGATACTTACAAGTGGCACTTTCAAAGACATACAAATAAAAAAGCCGCAAAGGCAAGCGTGGAAATATGCTTCCAAGACATCGTAAGGTTGCGCGTCTTTTTTAAGACATATAAAAATAGTTTTGTTTTGTACATCAATAGAAATCAAATATTTTCTATCTAGAAAGAGTTTCAATGCAAGCTCAGTGTCACTTGTTAAAATTATATCCTGTTTTATAAGAGCCGCAAGAGAAACACCTATTTTTATATTGAATCCACATATGCTCATTGCTGAAATGAAATAAATCAATAGGAGCAGCAATTTGTATTGGTTTAATGTTTAAAATTAAAATTAAATATTCTTACTAGATTTTGTTAATAGTAACACTGATTCCTTTTTGTTAATTTCTTCCGGTTTCGGAATAACTTCGTTCGAAACATAACTTTTTATTATTAAAGCTAAACGATCTTCGTTTAAAGAATTCAAGCATAATGCCCTTACCGCAGAATAATTTGCATACAGATGTATTATCACAAGAAAGAGATAGAGTTCCATTATATATCTAGGTGCAGATTATATATATTATACTTGACAAAATTAAATTCATTTATTAAAAAATAATAAATACTACTATATTTACCGCTCATTATGAAAAATTGAAAGTATTAAAATACCAACAAAAGATGCTATTAAATTTACACATGTTTCTTGACTTCCATCTTTAGCTGATACATCTGCCAAATTATTTTGTAATGCCTGCAATTCAAATTAATATGTTATAATTAACCAAATCTGTTTTGAATCTATCGTACCTGATGCTGTGTAAGTGCTGCTCTTGTTGCTCCACCGGCAACACCAACAATCGATTTCATTGCTGTTGAAATGCACAATATTCCAAGTGAATAAGAGGAAAAATAAGGCAAAAGTAATTCTAATCCCATTGCTAAATCATTAACAATATCAGCAAAGAGCCTCCATTTTTTACATTGTCCATCCAAACCTGTCCTAATGAATAAAAGACAATCGCTACTTTTGTAGAGACTAATTAGAAATATTATATTCTCATATATAATTTTATTTACCCATTCCACCATGCAAACACAATACGACCAACCATCCCAGTTCCATCTTTTAATATCCATGTTATAGCTGCTGCTAATGGAGTTGCTGCAGCCTCACCTACACCTACCCCTTGCATAATGGAATGTGTTGTAAGCGTACCCATTATGGTACTTGCAAATGCCTATAACAAATCAAAGATGATAATAATGATATAATTACATTGATAAACAATAGTTTCACTTATAATCTTTTGAATTATTTTTGTAACTTCCTATGTAAACTAACCTGAACTGTATCCCATATTTGATAAGGAGTATAGTCAGGGTGAACGCTATCGGGATATCCTTGAGGTAAAAATACCTCTTTTACAATCGATATGAAACCAGAATAAAAAGACTTCGTTCTAGTTGTGTCTGATAACAGTTCGGTTATCGATTGCTCGTCTAGACCAAGACGAATGATAGGTTAGGTAAACTAACAGTGATGTTTGTCAGAATACAGTTACCTTTTGATTTGACGAAAAACCTGTCTTTCTCACTCCCGTAGGCCTCGGTGAACAGTAATCGCTCATGCATCTTGAAGTGCACCGAGATTACGTTGTTTTGATTTGAATATACCGTGTGGAAACATATGCACTTTTATTAACGATCATAGTCGCTATTACATCCACGCGCGATTGCATCCTCCACTATGAATGCAACAAAATTCCCTAATATTTTGCTCAAAAAAATTTCATAATTAAATTTTTTTAAAAAAATTTTTATAACGTGTAAAAATATACGAAAAAGACAACAAAAATGCAGTTTTCTTTTTTTTTTTTACTAATCAATATTATACTTTAATTTGGAACTCTTCTTAAAATGAAAAATTTTCTGTTTGATTATATTCGGACATTTTTCGTATTTTACTTTTGCAAGCTTTTCGAGACATTCATATTTGGGAGAATTAAAGAAACGTCTTCAATTATTCCATTCAGTTCGTTTATGCAGGCATCTAATCTTCTTTTTACCTTCTTTGCGTCAAATTTTATATTTTTATATAAATTAATCTTTTGTATTTTATCATGGAAGTCGGAAATTAAGTGACTCCCACGAATTTCGGCGCCACCACCCATTCGACTCGTCAAGTATTTAAATGATTCTTGTTTTTCTTTCTGATCCTTTGATAAATCCACTTTGTCAGCCAATTCAGTTATCATTTTAGTTTCTTGTAATTTTTCTTTTTTACGTTCATTTTTAATTAATTTACATATTTGATTAATCTTTTCTTGATCTACATTGCCTTCATCACGTACATAAGTATCCAATTGCAGAATTTGATCATTTTTCTGCTTCTTTCTATTTGTTAATTTTGCTTCTTTTATATTAGGATCAAAATTGTGAATATTAGTCTTCGATGAAAATTTCATCTTTTTATTCGATCTGGAATTATACTTCTTAATATATGATTCTCTTTTGAAACAATTTAAAAAGATTCGTTTCCTTTTATACTCCATTATTGAGTCGCGCAGAATTCCGTTGGAAATTTTCTTCTTTTTTCCTTTCTTGCAAACCACCAGGTTTACAATCAGTTACTGGTAATTTTTCATCCAAAGAAACATTGTTTAAATCTGTTAAACAAATAGTTTAATTCGGTTTTTTAATTATTTTTTTTTAAAATCTGCAAAAATCAGAGGTAAATATTTTGAAAAGCACTGACCTCGTCTCGCAATTGTTGAACTTCAAAATTTGTAATAATTACAATTTTTTGCAATCTTATTTAAATTGCCTCTTCTTCATCTTGAACCTAACAATAACAACGTGACTTTAACTTTATGATTTGGCGTAACTTATTTTCCGTTTGTTAACATTTTTATTGGTACTTTTATTTAACAGCATATTATTATTTATTATATGTATGTTCAAAATAAAATCTCTGAAACTATAATCTTGTATAAAGCAGGAAAATAATTTTTCTTCTGCGTTACATTGTATGTTTATTCAATCAAAATATGCAACATTATCTTGAAGTAAATTCAGATTCGCACGTGATTCATCTGTTCTTGTATCTAATTAAAATAAATAAATATTTTTGGAAATGATAAACATGCTACGTGTTTTATGAAGCGTAGTATGTCCGAAAAGTATGTGAAAGAAATTTTGGAGAAGCTCGAAGAAATTGAGAAACTGCACGCGAAGTTGCGCAGTTTGGTGCCACGCGTAAAAGATCATGAATGGAGAGATATGAAAAATGAAAGTAAAAAGAATTATTTAGAACAAAAATCTATCAATATCTGTCGGAATTCAGAAATTATAAGAAACATGTCTAAAGATTTAACAACAAAAATAAAAAAGTTATACGATCCAGATACAAAACCTATGAAATATCTTATTAAGTTTAAGAATCATTCTAATAATAAGTGGAAAAATTTTAAAAACTATTTATTAACTATGAACGAATCTGACATTGTAGTGGGTAAAAAATAATTAAATTTTTTACTTAATACTAAACATTAAATATATATATAGAATATTTGATATTAATTAATTATTTAATAAATAATAGATATACTTGATTCAATTATCATTATTTCAATTTCTAGTAAACAGAGCTTCCCAAGTGTCGAATGATGATTTAGCAAGTAATACTTCAGAAAAAACAATTTCTTCTGCAATTCCTTCTCTAAAAGCCAATCATCTGTTTGAGAAAAGAAGATCCACATTGCAAGATCTACCAGAACGGTTATTAAAATATTTTGGTTACTGTCATGATTCTAACTTTGTAAATGAAACTATAGTATCGATACACGATCATAGTTTAGGTGAAGATGAACCGCATAAAGTGCATAAAACATTAATCATTCCGGATGAGAAAACGGAAACATTAAAAATCATTTCATCCGTAAGAAGAATCTAGGAGAATAGGAAATAATAAGAAATGATCATTAAACGATTGAAAACATATAAATTACCAAACAAACATAAAATAAAATATCCAAAGTAAATGAAAGAAATATCTATTTAAATTTTATTCTGCTAATTATATTAATAAAAACATGAATTTGCATAAACATCTAATATGTATATTTATATATATTGAATATATTTAATATATATTTTTACTTGTCTAAAACTTACCACCATTTAGAATGTTTTGCATCATTGATTAAAGGCAAAATAAATATGACAGTTGTATGAAGTTTCATGTCTCATTGTCAGGTTCTGAAATACCGACTTCGAAAAGATCAGAGTGCTTTTTACGCCCTCTGCGATTTGCTACAGTATACTTAAAACAAACAACAATCTCAGTTAGTGGACTTATTACCATAACAATTTTAATTGCAGGATAGAATTTCGATAATAGAAAAATTTTGTTGAGCAAAATTAACAATTATTTTGAATAAAATCACTTAGATATAAAGAAGCATTATTTCGTTACGTACTACTAAATTAAATTATATTCATTCAATTAAGTTATATTCATTACATTAATAAAACTGAAAAATAAGATTTAGAATTGAGACACACTTGTTTGACTTACTTTAAAGTTTAAAAAATAAAATTACGGACGTTTTATTAAATCAATTCAATAAATGTTATTCAATAAACGATAAGAATTGTTCCAGGTTAGACAAATACTTTGTGCGAATACGTATGCAATGATCTCAGCGCCAAACGGTAAAATATACAATCATAATCGATATAATTTCTCGCAATCGATCTAGAATATAGGAATATAACGTTAGTTTTAAGCGGGAAGCCAAAGGAAGAAGAAGCATCACTTATAAATTTTCAGGTAAAAATTCCAATCACTATTATTACTATTATTTACTATTATTAAATCATCGTTATTAAAATTTTATTAACATATCAGAACACACACTTGTCATTATTATACTGATAAAATTTAAAGTTGTTCTGAGAATTCACGATTTCCCAGCATTCGCACCGATCGAATCCCTTGTCGGCCATTGTGAAATTTACGTATGTTTCAAAGTAATGTATAGTCGTAATAACTTACACGGTTAAAATAATTGTTTTGAGACATTATATGCAATAATATTTTATCAATGTAATTATAATAGTCATTTCTCATTATATTGTAAAATAAAATATAGGAAAACATTAAGCATTACATAATTGCACGGAATTATTCCAATTAATTATATGTAGTTATAAGATATTCTATTCTATATCATCCTATTTGTAATTTCATAGGAAAAATCAGTTTCAATTGAAAACCATTACGAATCGATGACGTCACGTGAGAGAAAGATAATAAGAGGTTCTAGCAACTCCTGAAATGTGAGACCATTGACTAACTATTCACGTTGTAATCAATAATCCTATCCTATTTTTAGTCAATGCTATTAGTCAATGGTGAGACATAAAAAGACATTGAATGTTTGTACTATTTTGTACCTTGTCTGCTTGTACCATCACTGCACTGTACTGCCATCTAAACGTAACTGGAGAATGAACATTGCAACACTCGATGCGGCCAATGGAAAGAAACGGAAATGTTTGAAAGAAGCCTTTAGAGTGTGTGGGCTGGCAGATAGGAGTACCGGAAAGGCGGGTTCCACCGGAAGTCACGGAGGTTCAAACGTAACATTACGATCACGAGTAAATCCTTCGATCATGCTTAACGTAATCCTCAATGAATCGATTTGCATAAAATAGAAGAAAATCTAAAGCTTAATTATCAAGATACATTTAATATTCATAACTTACTATTTCCGTTTCCGTTCTTAATGTTTTCCTTAATTTAATTTTCTATTACTTTCTCCTCTTCTTTTTTTTTTCTTTTTCTTTCTTTTAGCAATTAAATATAAGGTATGAAAAATTTAAGATTTCATGTCCAACTTAAAGAAGAATTTTGCTTATGCACTATGACTAATCAATTTTAATGCCAATCAAGTGAATTCAAACGTTGCATCGTGGTTTTCATGGATTTACCTTATATCGATGGACCATCAGAGATTTCGCAGGAAAGCTGTGCTCGTAATTTTCTATAACGTAAAAAGTGGAACTCTGACTTGCACGTATTACATTTTTACTCGGGACGATGAACAATCAGTACTGGCAATATGCGTTTAACGGTTTTTCATAGGGGGAAAAAGATGTGTTTTCAGACAGAAGTGCAAGCATCGTAGATATTTCTGTATTTCTCACTAAAAACCAACAATCTTTTTCTAATCGAAAGAAGCATCGTTTCATTATTTAGTATTTTTGATTTAGATAGAAAGTTCTGTATTTACATGACTAAATATTAATTATTATTAATTATATATAATAACTAAATATGAAAATTAGAGAATCGTAGCGGGATAAGATATCTTCTAGTTTGAAGTTCAATGATTAATTTTAAATATCCTATGCAATTGATCTTTAATTTAAAAAGGAAATCATTGTTAATACATTTAATTTCTCTTTCCAATCTTATGCTAAAATTCTCTTTAAAAACATTAATAATATTTTTGCTCGCCAGAACAACAAAAAATGTTAGAAAAATTGGAGAACCGTAACCGGATGGAACATCTGGCTGTTCAAAGCTTGACAAAGTGTATCACGGTATCAGGAGAATAGCAGAGGCTCGATTCTGAAAACAAGAAGCGTCCAATAAACAAACCGGGCGTACTTAAGCGAGCTGGATAAAAGTGCGAATAAACGAGCGTACGAAGAGCGTGCCGTCGCCGTTCCCCGTGCCTCTGCCTAAGCCCCCTTACTCGTTTTCCAGTCAACGACTTCGTTGGATGGTGTTGCACTTACGTGCACTATTGCATGCGGGAAATATGGCGTGCTGCATACACGCACGTGGGACGCGAAGGTGGGGCTGAGCCTTGCAAGCTATTCCTGTACACTATACACTTTGGAGTAGCAAGTAGCATAACAACACGATCCTATTCGACATTGTGTACTGTTTCGTCGCGACCAAGAGCATGGGATGGTGAATTGATAACGCAACGACATCTCGGAATCGCTCATTCTACTTTTTTACTTACAATTAGCAAGGTCCAACTTCTAGAAACGTCCACCAGTTTCCATATCCGTTTTCATTGATCACCGATGGCTCTAATGAGAGAAAGGAATTTTTCGAGTTGCGTTTAATGTCACGTTAATTGCTCGTTTCATCATTAATCACTCAATGATACCAGGAATCCACCACCATTGCTTTATTGACTGTTTATGGCGTGAATGGAAAAGTAGAGGATTAACAATTTTCCTTTTTAAATTTCCACCAGGTAAACGAACGAACACGTATTTCTATGGTATTTGTATCTGAAATTTACTCCGAATAAAATACAAAGGTTTGTGTAGCAAGTCTGCGAGTTGAACGTCTATAATTTATCTACACATGCATCTAGGATGCGGGTAAATGTTAAAAGGAATTCGTGGAATGTTTCTAAATACCTGGCAAGGCTGCCAGAAGTCTTTAAGGGACGTGAAAACTATGAAACTTATGAAGGGTAATTATTGTCGCCGGCACGGGGCACGCGACTGGCCAAGTCACACGGTATTCTTCTCTGTTCCTTTCTTTCCTCTATCGTCTTTTACTTCTTCCTACCATTCTACACTTTTGTAATGCCTCTCTGTCTCTGGCACTTCCTGTGTTCCGCCACATTCACCTGACTGCCAGCACCTGCCGTCATAAGTATCTAGGTGTACGCAACGTATGGAGGCGACCGCGTATCCTATGGGACTTTAGTTTCCCCGCTCGTTTCATCGGCCACGCTGTGCTCTCCGACTTGTGCCTACTGGCGCAATCCACCTGGAAACACGTCGAGTGCGCTACACGCAGTCGATGTTACGCTGTCGTTCACCACGGCTGGACTATCGAGCTTTTCCTCTCCCGCTGATAACAGTCACGCCTCGAACCGGCGAACCTGCGATCGACCATTAGTGTCCTCCGCGACCATAACTGGTTTCACTTCTCTGCAACTACCATTTGGATCGAGAGGTTCGAATTCAAAAGTCAAATTTATAAGTATTTAATTCTCTTTTTGCTTCTATTTTTCTTATTTCTTCTTGGATATTTCTGTTTGTCCCTTGGTACTTTGTACTGGAATTTTTCTATGGGTCAATCAAAGTGACCAAGATCAGTATATAGATCTTGAGTATTAGATATTAGAAATCAGTTACGGGACGATTGGGTCTTTGCATAGATAGTTTCCACTGCAATTGACAATATTCAATAGCCGACGTTTTTGTTTTTCATGTTCTAATCGAGAAGAAGAAAGAATAATCTGTGGAACGTTTCAATAAGGATGACATAGAAATTGCTGGTTTGAAAGAAGCTGAACGATCCTCCGTTTTACGAGCATAGACTCGGCTCGATATTCGCGAGTTCTTGCCATAGTGAAGAATTATTGTAGTGTAATAAACGCGTTTCTCCAAGCTTCAAAGGTGAATCCTTATTGTAAAGTGACTGTTGAACTGTTGGCACGTAGAGCTGATTTGTTATCACCGGTTTTACTGCTCTAGAATGTCACCTGGATCTCGTAGTCGGTGAGTAAACATACTTTCAACACATGTTTCTTGACAAAACCAATAGTATCCTACTACTTTTACTATCACGCGATAGTAGATTCAAGTTAAAAAGTTAAATTTTTTGAAAATTTTCTCTGTCAGAGTAGCGAATTAAAAGTCGATATTAAAAGTCTTGTTTTCATTAATTTGAAAAATATTATCAGTAAAAGTAGCGATTTATAGTAAATACTATAAATATTATTATTAAAGTAAGTAAACACGTACTTAGAAACATGGTCTGAAAATTGTATTGGAGAGCACTATAAAATATTCGCGATCGATAGAAATGATAGTTGATGGAAAATCCCAGGGCCACGATTTGAAAAACAAATTTCGGACATTGCTAGTCAGGGCAGGTAGAAAATCTTATTGAAACAATGGCCTCGTGCGTATCTTCTCATAGGAGATTGCAATGGCGTCCCTCCCAGCGTGAATACGCACGTGTTCCGGCCGCGTTCCAAGATCGGGCAATTTCGATTCTTCCATACTAGCTTTCCCACAACAATCTTCTTATTGTTAGTGAAACTTTATTCGCGTAAAGTAACCGCAGAGAAGATTCGATTATTCTCAGTTTTATATTTATATTTATATTTTTATATTTTTATATTATTTTATATTTTATATTTTATATTTTATATTTTTATATTATTATATTTTATATTTATATTTTTTTAGTATTTATTATTCTTTTCCTTCTTTATTTTCAATCAGACAATTTCTGTCTGTATCAAAAACTGAATGAGTTTGTCTAATTTAATTATATTTTTATGATTACATACTGACTAGACTGTGGATATTTATGCATTTATAAAAATGCTAATGTATCATCTGTTACATAATATATAAACAAATTTATAATGATCAAGTTAAAAAGGACATAGGTATCTTATATAAAAAATATTTCATATTTTAGAAAGCTATGAAATAAACTATTCTTGATCCGGCTCGACACGAGATAGAAAGAGTTAACATTCTTTTTATCTTAGTCTTATTGTTATCTTGGTTTATTAAATTAAACAAACGAATTCCGTTCTTTGACTGCAATCTCAGATAACCGCCAGCTAATTCTCGCCGGCAACCATCTTATTTTTCTCAGTTTTCAATTACCAAGTCTAATGTGCACGATATAAAAATAACTCGAATTACATGCGTACCAGCATTTGATAGTTGCTACCTAACAATTGTTGAATCGATACCGTAAAACTTATCATCTTATCGACCCTGTAACATGATGAGGATGAGCACAGTGATGTATAAACCAGAGAATTATTAATTCGAAACAATCCAATTGACGGGGGAGAATAATGGGGCCACATGCATCAAGCATTCTTCGGACTGTTTACCTATGGCCGCATGTGTTGCTGCGGCAGCCTGTTATAAAGGAACTCGTATCTACCACAGTCGTTTCTCGTCCACTGCGTGCTAAGTGGTTTGTTTCAACGGAAAATAAGCCACTAATTAACTCAATCGTATATTCACTCATTCTATTTTTCACGAAACTTTGCTCCTGATTTTTTTCATGAAAGTTTCGATTCATAAATTCATTCATTCTTTCAACTTCACTGTTGATCATTAACTATTAATAAATTCAACTGTATAAATTTGTTGATTCGTTTAGGTTTCCGGATACAGACTTTAACTCTGTTTGTTTTATACAATTTCTGAGCTATTCTACTTGATACTCAGTTATGATCATTTAGCAGAACTTTTTCTTCGGGAAATAAACTAGAGAAATACTAGGGATATAATTTATTTTTGTCGGTTTCTTTTTTTCACTTTCACAGTCTACATTTCTGAAATGTTCGATAGGATGCAAAAATATTTGGTCCGATAACCATACTAAAAAGAGATAGTTTTATTGAAGAAAAAGTTATATTGGTAGAAGAGGAAAAAATTTGTACAAAATGTATAGTAATCTAATAATAAATCTAATACTAATAACTATATAGTTCTATAATAACATTACAGGTAATTCAGAAATTTTATAATCCAGAAGTAGATTCATGAATGATACGGGAATGACAATGCCAGAACTTTCTATTTACAGTTTTTACGTATCAATACTACTCCGAATAACGTAACTGAATGAACTCATTTACATAAATACTTACTACTTTCAAATCAAGGAATATCATTTATAATCGAATCAGCCCGTATATGTAATAATTTCGAGACTTTTCTTCGTCATTGAAAGACCAAGGATCGCAATAAAAAGAAATTCGCAGTCGAGCGAATTCGCTTTGACCTCTGCAAATTGCGATTGATTTCAACGGGATAGAAAACATAAGTGAGAAAAAAAATAGTGAGGATAAAATTGAGCGAGTGGGATGGCAAGAGTGCATCCGATGACATTTTCTTCGGCGGCACGTTCACGCCTATCTGTTAGCAACGATCGCGCGTGTGCATACGTGTTACAAACAACGCTTCGTTACGTTCCCGAAGGTAACCTCGAGGCCAGAATCTCCGACTTTCTCTCATCTCCGCGCATCCATCTTAGGTGTGCGGTTGCATATGCACGGAATGCAGCCGCTGACCGATAAACGCCCGTGGCGATTAAAACGATCGAGGCTGACCGATTACCCCCGAGACTTGTTTCTATGTTCTCTCGCATTGGCACCATCAGTTGGTGCGTGTCAGTTCAATCTTCTGAAAGTGAGTGAAAATATTAAAAGATTTGAAATTTCGAGGAATTTGATAACAGGATAGAGAATGGAATATTTTATAATAAACGACCGAGAGTAGACATTTAAGGGTATTTAATTAATTCGAGTAAAATGTTAAGAAATTTGTCATTCATGGAATTTCGTTTCAATTTCAGGAGATTCGTAATTATTTACTTAATCAAATCATCATCGTTGTTATATATTTATATAATTCTTATTATTATTATAATTAGAGGAATAATAAATTTGTTTGTGAATCTAAATTCAAATTTATTCATTTAATAATTTATACTTTTATTTACTTATTATTTATATTATTATCTTTCAAAATTAATGCGATGAGACAGAGAATGGAGTTATATTCCGTGTAGGAAATTTCGAAGGATAAATAATAATAATAGAATCCTTCGGACTGTTTAAATAATATCTGCTCCTTTCCTGAAATTTAATGGATTGTTTAAGGATTTAAATT